CCCCCCCCCCCCCCCCCTGGGTTTGGCGTGAATGTTTATATAGGCACCACGTGTTTAGATGTGACTCAAGCGTCAAAACGTTGAGGTCTTGTCGGACGGCGCACCTGCTTTTTGCGCCTGTGCTGTCGGGGGTGGTCAGCGGTTGCATGAAAACTTCACACGAAATGCACATAGCGCCCGTACAGACGAACCTATAGTTTTCGCCGAGGCTTGGGTTCTTGAGGAACCTCTTGCAATGGCCACTACCGTAAGCGTGCGAGAGAACGCACCGGGGTGCGATCGATTTTCAAAACGTATTTTATCCACAACCAGGAGGGTACCGCTGCTGTCGACAAGGGTCGTTTTGGAAATATCTCATCGAGAGCTTTCCTGAGAGGTATCAGTTGGCGCTCGCACCCTCCTCACAAAAAGTGGTGTACAGAAGTTTGATTATCTACAGCGTTTGAGCACTACGCATTGAACTGCCAAGTTGCTATGCGCGGGGCACTACTTGACAGCCCTCCATTTTTTTCGTTCCTGTGCGCCGTCTCCGCCCCCTGCCCGCGATCGTTTTCCCCTCCGCGACGTCCCGTGGTGACCGGACACACCACGATGTAAACCGTCAGATGAACGCGATCCGGACGGCGGAAGAGACGGAAAGGGACAGGAAGCGTTCCGTGGCGGCTTCGCAGCTCGCGGCGGCGGCGGCGGCCCAGTACCTCAGCAGCAAACGGTGCGATTAGCTGCTGCTACTGCTGCTGCTGCTTCGATTCGTTTTTGATACAGTCCCGCCGACCTGCAATCTCAAGACAAAAATTCTGTGGGAAAAAGTACCAGAAGGAATCGGGCAGGGTGCTTGCTGGCGAGGGCGCTACTGTTAACAGCGCTTGCCTTTTCATTTGTTGGCTTCGACCCAACAAACTCGCACTGTCTGAACGGGTGTTTTACTTTTTTTGCAGGAGAGGGCAGGGGGGTTTTGATTGTCCGGTCTCCCGTTTTTGCGGGTGTTCACCGGCAAGGGCTGACCTCTGTCCGAGCCCAAACGCGCTATCTGCGGTGCCCCCAGCCAAAACATAACGGATCGGACGCACTGTTTCTTTGGCACGCCAACGCGCGGCACAGCAGTAGCACCACGGACGTGTCTTGTGCGCGAGGGGCGGCAGTGTGACCCGATCCCCCCCTCGACCCCTTGGCCTAGAAGCACGTGTTACGATAGTAGGGTCGCAACAACCGGCGTGTGTTATCCTGCTGCTTGATAATGAGCTCAGCAAAACTCTCCTCTGCCTGCACGTTCCCCTCGCCTGGCCCGGCAACGCGGGTTGTTGTCCTTCTCGCCTGCTTCCGCCTCGAAAAAGGGCCCGCTCCACAGCAACAGCGCCACCGGCTTCTTCAGCAGCGCGACTAGCGATATCGCCGGCAGCGGCAGCGGCAGCCGCGGCGGCGGCGGCGGTGAAGGTGCAGGGCGCGATGGCGACGGGGGGCGACGACGAGGAAGGCAAGCAGCAGGAAGACGGCTCCTTCGAGCACGTGTCCAAGGGCAGCATGCTCCTGAGAAGGATGGGGTGGAAGGAGGGGCAGGGCTTGGGCCGTCGGTCCGATGGACCTCTTCGACCGGTGCAGGCAAGGATAAGCGGAGCCTGCTGGATTGTATGTAGGCTCACACTTTGGTTGGATCGAAAGGTGTCGAGCTGCTTGCTGTTGGGTGAGGTTTACCATTTCACGACGACCCGGTCATTGCCTACCGAGAGGTGCAGGTAGCAGTAGATGGAGAGATGATTGAAGCAGCGCGTGCAAGCAGTAGGACGTTGTGTATTCATGTCTAGCAGCCTCGGCGCGTTTTTCCAGGACTCATGTAGTAGGCTCTTGTCACCGTTGCTCCACGGCGGTCGATCATGTGCATACAGCTCGCAAGAAGTAGGGTGTGGGGTCGACGTGGGCAGCAAGCAGCAACGCAGCGCTTGCACAGCAGACCGCCCTCGCAGCCTCTCGCGGCTGTCAAACCACGCCCCATTGCACGTGATGCTGGACATACGGTGTTCTCGCCGTTTCTGTCCTTGACGTGACCTGCGGAATAGATATGCTCCTCGCTCCATTATTCTACGTCTCGCTCCACGCGGTAGGGTGGTGGTACGGTATCCTATCAATCTCCGACTGCCGAAAGAGATCACGGGTGCTTCCGCCCGGCGTTTGTAGGTGGAGAGAGGCGTTGTACTTGGTGGGGGGTTTCGTGTTTTTTTCACTACCCTACATAGCCAGCAGGGCGATAGTCCCCCCCCCACCCCCCACCCTGGACTCCCAGGGTCCCCCCTTAGCCCGAGCCTCCCCCACGCCTTTCCATCTCAGCTTGAGCCTGCTCCTTCTCCCTGCCCTGCTGTGTACCACACACCGCAACCAAACAAATATCGACGGATCTCTTTCGTCAGGTTGAACGGCGGGGCGAACGCGCCGGACTCGGGACCCGAAGCAGCAGCAGTCCGTTCGCCGTCGGCGCCGACGGCCGCATTAGCAAGTGGGAACAGATGCGCCGGAGGTTTTCCGAGGCGGCGCAGTCTTCCGGGTCTGGGTTCGGAGAGGCGGGGCGACGAGCGAGCAGCGCCGGCGGGGGGGGCAGGTGGCTCAAGGGAGGAGAGGNGGGGCGGGGGGGAGGGGGGCGTACTCTCATGTATTACATGCCTTATCGTTAGACCGTTGACCACGCGTCCTCGAGAAGGGGGGGAGGGAATGATGGTACAGAGAGCAAGAGGTTCGATAAAACGTTTGTTAGCGCGTTTTGAGATATTTTCGTCTATGGGCCGCCCGCCCCCGAGAAGCAAGCACGTGCGTCTGCCTGTTGGTGGTTCCCGGCCGCATCCTTTTTCGCAATATTGTGAGCGGTAGTAGCCTGTCAGCGGATCGTTGGCTCACAGTTGCTCGACCCCAAGCATTTCGTCGTCGACTTTGTCGACACCAGGTCAAGGACACGCCACCGCACCCCCCACTCGTCGCCCGATGCCCCGCTGCCCCACCTTCCCGCGGGAGGTAGGCATGGTGGGGTACTACGCTCCACCTGTCTGCGCCCACCCGTCCTAGGCGACGGGAAGAGAGGCGAGGCTGTCTTCTGCGCACCCCCCCCCCCCCCCCCCCCCCCCCCCCCCCCCCCCCCCCCCCCCCCCCNCCCGCCGCCCCCTGCGAACAGTTAGAGAGGCGAGGCGAGGCACAGACCAACCTGGCCAGCAACAAGAGCAGCGGCCTACGAAAGGGTAGTTCCTCGTACACGTAGAGGCGTGAACGCTTCGAGCAAGAGGGGGGGGCTTGCTTGGACTGTCCGGGAACGGACGGCGGCTGCTTTCGCAAGGTCGCAGCCCTTGTTTTTTTGTTGTGGCAACCTTAAACTTCGGCAGCACGTCAGCTCTTGGTGTGATGGCATTTTTCCGGCGGGAAATTGGACGTGTATCCAGGAGTGTAATACACGCTAGAAATTAGGGTGGATACGTGGGAGTCTTTTGGAGCGCGGCCATGCAGGCGAGGCGGTGCCGCAAGAGGGAATGGCGGCGGTAGGGCCGAACACAACCCTCCAGATTCAGCGCGGACGGAAGAGAGATATCCAAGAACAAGGAGAGGGGAAATTGTTTTGGCGAGGCCTCCTCGGGCCTGTCTATTTATCTGAAGCTACTGTCTACCAATCCCCGCCAACACTACGTGCGGAAGAGGCTTGCGCGAGGTCTGTGGGTCTAACGTACTGGTATCCTTCGGTCAAAAACATCTGTGTGAAAAACCCAGAGATGTGTGCACGCGCTGATGCCGTCGGGGTCGGTGATGTTGTGTCCCTGTAGGCACTCTGGACCACGCTTTCTGCTATGCATGCATGCATGGCCTTTTACGCCCCGATCAAACCGCGACAAACACGTCTTTACTGCGATGATACGTATGCGGTCGCGCAAAGATGTACAAGTTCGTTGGCCGAAGAACGCGCCGTAGGGGAAGTAAAGTGAAGAAGACCAGCAGTGAACGTGCGACCATGATCGTCGTTGTCACCAAGCGCAAACAACCTTAGCCTTGCTTTGTCGACAGAAAAAATAAGTCGGTGGCGCTATTATTGTTAGCTTTCTACTCGCGTGTGTGTGAAGCCTTTGCATTACTGTTTGTTCACCACCACTGTCAGGCGTCATTCGAGCGAGCGGCGTAGACACGAAGAGCGAATGATGTGCGATAGGATGTATGGTAGCGCGAACGGGATTAAATGAAGGCCGACAGCCTCCACACCGTAGTCTCGATAATGTTCGTGGCGCATCCTTTTTCTGGAAAGCGGAGAAAAGGAACCGTGTCCCCAGACACTATGCACGACGTAGTCGTTTGGGCATCCCACTTTTCTGTGTATTGTAGGGGGGGCAGCAGACTCCACACAACGCAGCGTTCTTCCATGCGGCCGAATCGTGAACGTACAGTGTTCGATTCTTACGAATACCCCCAAGTTTCTGGTAGAACATGAGATGAAAGGTGTTGCATCTCTCAAAGAGATACCTGAATTCCTTCTGGACAATTTGAGCAAAAAACGTTTTTTGACAATATGTTACGTACTACTTTGTGCATCCTTCCTTGCTCCCCTCTCTCCCTTTTGACCCGCCATACAACATGCGCTCGTACCACGGACAACCCCGCGGATCGTTCTTCAACGATGGCCCTACAGTAGCAAAACTAACCACATCAACACCAAACAAAAAAGTCTCAAGCCTTCCTTCTCTCCAGCTACAAGCTCATCGCGATACACAGCAGAATCTCTGCCTGCCTTCGCTGGAGGCGAAAATGCCAGCCCAACCCTACACTTGCAAGACGCCCCCAAAAACGCTTAGCTCACCTCTCTCCCCCCACGAGTCAGAAGAAAAAAAAACAACAAAAGCAGCAGCAATACAAACTAAACAACCAGATCGTCACTTGGCACCTGGCCCTCTCTAGGGAAGTCAGGGCAGCTAGTGCCAGAGCGTCTATCGAGGAAAACTCGGGGGGGGGGAGGTGTTGATACTTTCCCTCTGTACGAAGGTATGCATGCATGCAAGTACACCTTCCCTTCGGGCTGTATATGGTAACAATATCCATGCATGATACTACCTGCCCCTTTCGTCAAAAGAGCAGCAGCTTTTATACACAAAAAGACGCAATCGACGGCAGGTATAGAAAACGAACGCACAAGGCAGGCGAGTTTCTATTGGCAGAAACAACCAAGAGGACAGTCAATCCGATGCAAACCAGACAACAAACCAAACCCAAAGCCACCCAAGCACGTACTAGTTCAACCGTCCGTATACAACCACTCGGATAACTGCTCTCCCTCCCTATCCTGCTCCCTGTGGCCTCAGTCTTTCCTGCGTTTGTTTGGTTTGAATGGAATTTGAGGAAGGATGCCTGGTGAAAAATGACGCCCTTGGCCGCGAGAACATTACCCGCTGAAACAATCAGTCAACCCAAGCAACCAAAACCTTGGCTGATCGCTCTCTCAAGGGGACCCAAGCCTATCCCATCTCTCACTAATACATTCTCCGCGACGACATTGTCAGCAACGTCGGAGCCCTAGGGATACACTGGCACCTGACCGCATCGCAACCTTCCCCCAGCGCAAGATGCACCGCTCCGCTCGACCACCTACAATTCTCACCGATCCCCCACCCTCCCTACTCTAGACCCCCCGACAAGCACTCCCGAGTTCGTGGCAATTGCACGCGTTCGTAGATCTAGCCCCGAAGGCTCCCTTCCAAGAGAGAGAGAGAGCGAGAGCTATCCGCTATTCGGGGGCACGCAGCTAAGGCTTGATGGGTGCGCGAGAGAAACCCGCCGGGTGCACAGGGAGGTTGGACTGACTGCGCACACAGAAAACGCAGGGGCCATAACGACCACGTACTTCAAGCAGCAGCAGCAGCGCTGACACGACACAACGACGGCGTTCCCCGGTATACGTGGGCGTGTGGCCAGCCAGCGCCTACACGCACGAGCGAAGCAGAAACCACAGCGCCGGCATATGGCCAAAGAGGACCCACTCTGTACACCACCGAACAGCAGACGATCGCCGACATACACCCCCGCCACCCCCCC